TTGTAAATGGCTGGGTTCCAGAGACATCTCTGTGTGGCACTAATCCCTTTTGGGATTCAATTGGGAGTCTTTGGGCCAAGGCTGTTGGTGTGCTAAGATGGCGTCCGGAGGCAAATTGTGGGCTTGACAGTCAATCTTCTGGGGGGCAGTGACCCAGGGAGGGACAGCCTGAGTCCTCTGCCGCCATGCGGCCTGGAGATTCAGTCCTGAACCTGCATACCTGGGCCTTGCTTGTAGAAGCTCTTGGTCACCAGGATTCCATCTGGAGCAGGTGGGGAGACTGCACCTACTCCATCTGTGGTGCCCCGGTGATATTGGCTCGGTATGGGGCCTGGAGAGATCTCCGGCACTGTGGTGTCTTCCGGGACTTGCTGCTGTGTCTTAGGGCCAGGGCTGTTGGTATGTTAAGATAGTGCCCGGAAGCTAATTGTGGGCATAACAGCCAGTCTTGTGGGCAGGTGGGGACCCAGGGAGGGACAGCCCAGGTCCTCTGCCACCATGCGGCCTGGAGATTTAGTCCTGGAACCCACATACCTGGACCTTGCTTGTGGAAGCTCTTGATCACTGGGATTCCATCTGGAGTAGGCAGTGTTCAGTTCTTTTCACATGTCCGATGGAGGACAGTTAGCTGGAATACCAGCCCTGCCTCTCCAAGCAGGACTCAGAAGGGTGGCGACTCTCTGGCAAGCGTCCCGGGGCCCCATCAGTGAGTCTGTTCTCAACATTGCCATGATTGGTTTCCTGCCCCTAGGTGACCCTTTTCTGGGACCAGAACCTTCTGGGGCAGCCCCCAACCCCCTGCCATAGAGTTTCCAAAAAGTTTGGCCAGAGTGATCAGGGATCACTCCTAGCAGGATTCAAGGGAATATACTGGATGGTGGCGACCAAACCCAGGTCAGCTGTGTGCAAGGCCAGCACCCTCCCTGCCGGATTGTTGCTCTGGAGCCTTTGTGCTTATTTGGCTACTTTAGGGCCAGAGACAAAGGGCTGAAGTGATAGTAAATAGGGGCTGGCCTTGCCTGTGGCTCACCCAGGCTCGATCCCCAGCATCCACCCCTGAGTCCTGCCAGGAGTGATCTTTTGAGTGCAGAGCCTGGAGCAACCCCAAAGCATTTCCAGGTGTGGCCCGAAAAGGAAAAAAATGAAAACACAAACTTCAAAGCAGTTTAAATGATGTTGCTACTAGCCAGATTTTGGGGGAGTGGGGGGCTGGGGGTTCTGAAATGACTCCCAGTGACTGGGGAGAGCGCCCGAAAGCTTGTGACCCCAATCTTGGAGATACCTTAAAGCAGAAAATTGGGGTCTCTTGGCTCCTACTCCCTTGGGCACTGTACCTTGGTGCCAGGCTGAGAGTGTGTGTGTGTGTGTGTGTGTGTGTGTGTGTGTGTGTCCCCTATTTTTCTAAATGTAAAGCACAGACGGGTCCACAGTGAGTTACAAATCTCTCAGCTCCCTACCCCACCCCATGCCCCTTGTCCAGGCTGCTTCCCTGAAGCTCCTTCTGTGTCGACAGGCCTGGCCACAGTTTTCTGACACAAGCAGGTGCCCCTTTGACTTCTGTCTGCTCTACTAGTCGCTTTTGTACCAAACAATAGTCGGGGCCACCCTCCCAGGGAACCCCTGAAACTTCCTCATTCTTTCTGCCTGCTAGAGGCCAGCTGGCCCCACGGCTCCTCCAAGCCAGTCCCCCACCCCCACCCCAGCCCCGCCCTCCCTCACCAAGTGGGGCTTGGGTGGTTCCAGGTCCTTGGCTGTGTCCTGCCGTTTCAAGTTCAGCCCCAAGTGGCCAGGCCTGTTTCTCTCCTTCCCAGCTTCCCAGGGGGCATTGTTGCACACACATACCCTCCTTTCTTCCCTCCAGCCTGAAAAGGCCAAGCCCAGACCCCCTGCTCACCCTCTGCCCTAATTTGTTTGTGACCAGGATCCTTTGTTTATTTCCCCAACTAAGAAGAGCCCATCTTTTCAGATTATAAAAATAGAACTTGTTTCTGCAGCCAAACTCGGATGACAGAGATGAATACAAAGACAGGGCAGCCCCCTGCAGTGTCTGCACTCAGGGTCTGGGCCACCTTATATAAGTGGCATCATTCTGCAAATCATGGGGTATAAACCCCTCTACCCAGCCCCCAGCTCCCCACTTGTTTCTGGGATTGTTGTCCAAGCTCCTGGGCAGACTTGGAAACCTTTGCAGCCACATGCAGCAGATGTGGGGCACAGGGTGAGCTGGCAATGAGTTCTTGGGAAGTAATGAAACCAAGATGTGATTTTTTTATTTTTCGTTTTTGGGTCATACCCAGCGGTGCTCAGGGCTTACTCCTGGCTCTGCACTCAAGAATGTCTCCTGATGGGGCGCAGGGGACCATGTGGGATGCCGGGGATTGAACCAGCTTGGCCATGGGCAAGACAAGAGCCTTCCTCACCATACTATCACTCTGGCCTCCTTTTATGCTTTTTTGGGCTACTTTAGGGACAGAGATATAAGGCTGGAGTCATAGAAGAATGGGGAGGGTGCTTGCCTTGCCCACAGCCAGCTGGATTCAATCCCCAGAATCCCCTGTGGTCCCTTGAAGCCCCATCAAGAGTCATTCCTGAATACAGAGCCAGGAATAAGCTCTGAGCACTGCTGGTGTGATCCAAAACCCAAAACCAAGAAAAAACCAAAAAAAGCATGAAGGTTGGACCCAGTTTGAGGACACAGGAATTGAGCTCTGATAATTCTAACTGGCCCAGAGAAGGCGGGACCACTCCAGAGGGACAAAGGCTGTGAGAAGAATGTGAAGCTGAATTGGCACAATCCAAAACTCTTCTCCTTGACAATACTCTAATAGACTCTTCACAAAACCTTTTTTGTTCTTTTCTCTCTCCTTTTTTTTTGTTTGTTTTTTGGGCCATCCCTGGCAATGCTTAGGACTTACTTCTGGCTCTACACTCAGGAATCTCTTCTGGCAGTGCTCTGGGACCATGTAGGGTGCCGGGGATCAAACCTGGGTCAGCCACATGCAAGACAAGCACCTTACCTGCTGTACTATCTCTCCGACCCCAAATATGTAAGTATTCTTTTATTTATTTATTTATTTTTGGCCAACCCGGCAATACTCAGGGTTTACTCCTGGCTCTTCACATTCAGGAATTATTTCTGGAGGTTGTTGGGGGACCATATGGGATGCTGGGGATCAAATCTGGGTCAGCTGAATAAGGCAAATGCCCTATTCTCTGTACTATCTTTCCAGCCCTTAAATATGTAAGAATTCTTAAAACTAGAGGATTTAAAGCTCTGAAGCTGCAAGCTGGATTGTGTGTGTGTGGTGTATTTGTGTGTTTGTGTGTGTGTGTTCATGTGTGTGCGCGCGCGCACACACACACACACACACACAATTTTTGGAGAACAACTTTCCTTAGTTGAGTAAAGGAGGTCTGTTATCCCCGAATATCTCCCTCCTGGCCAAGGACTCGGTACTTTCTACAAGAATTAAAGCTTCAGCCTCTAGACTAGTTCCTCCACTCCCTCCAACCCCCCTCCCCCACCCCCCCCTTGTCTCTGCCCCACCCATCCCTAGATTGTCTCTAACCTGCAGTGCAGACCCTGTTTTTCAAGCATCGCATTGGCTCCACCTCTATTTTTCTCAACTCATTTCTAACTGTGGCTTCCTTCCGTCTTTGTTTCCTTCCTGTGGCCCCCCAATCTACTGTTTGACCTCTAGATCTCCTGCTGTGGCTCCCATTTATGTGATTTTCATCTGTGGCCCCACTGCGCTATCCAGGGGGCCCACAAGGAGCCCTAATCCATCCCTCCTGCCTCTCCCCCCATCTAGGCACTGGCCTAGATTTTTCTGGATTTGAAACATTTTGATCTTACTGGCTATCTCAACACACACTAATCCATTTTCTGTGCTCACGCCTCCATGGACCTCCTGCCTGGATCACAGGGAGCATTTTATAGTTCTGAGGTGTGCCAGGCACTTTCTGAGGGTGCCCTTGCACCAATGTTCAACCCTCTATGCACCTTTATCTACAGAATTGGTACCCCAAAAAAGGGGGGTCCTGCTGGAGGCATATACTGTGGTTAAGGTCTTGCATGAACTGACCTGGGTTCCTTCAGCACGGCTAGGAATGATCCCTAAGCACAGATCCAGGAGTAAGCCCTAAGCATTGCTGGGGGTGACCCAAAAGCAAGTAAGCCAAAAATTCCACATTCATGATGATGGGGCTGAGAGGGAAACTGTATGCCCTGTATTCCCGAGGCCCTGAGTTTTACCGGAAGTTAAAAACAAAACCTAACAATAGATTAGTGATTCCCTTCCCCTCCCCGCCCCTTTTTTTGTTTGTTTCTGGGCCACACCCAGTGATGCTCAGGGTTTACTTCTGGCTCTTCATTCAGGGATCATTCCTGGTGATTCTGGGGAACATATGGGGTCCCAGGGATCCAACCCGGGTTGGCCGAGTGCAAAGTAAACATCTGACCCATTATTGGGCTATACTATAATTGCTCCGTTGAAGGCAGGCAACACACACACACACACACACACACACACACACACACACACACACAATTTCAACTCAGCCACCTCTGCCTTTGTGATGTCTTCCTGGCTCCCACCAAGTTAGGTACAGCCTTTTATGCTCCCACACCTTTATCACGTTTATCTTACTTTGTAGTAATTATGTGTTTAAGTGGCTGCCTCCTCCCCCACCTGGATAGGAGAGAAAACCCGTCTGATCCACCTTTCGACGCCTAGAACCCCGCCAAGCGTCTGGCTCCACGAACGAACCGGCGACGACTTAATTTGAAAGTCAGTCAATTTAAAGGAAGCATTCTGTCCATTAGGGGAGGAGGCGCCCCAGCTGAGGAATTGCACTCGAAACAGGTGCGCGGCGGCCGCCCCGCCCTAGCCCCGCCCTAGCCCCGCCCAACCCCAGTCCCAGCCCCGCCCCCGAGACCCGCCGGCACTACATTTCCCAGCAGGCCCAGCGCCCCGGGCATGCGCGCCGGAGAGCTCGGAAGCTGCGACGCCGAGTTTCACTCTGGCTGCCGCTGTCTCCTCAGAGTGCGAGCCCGAGCCGGAGCCGTGCGCAGGCCGAGCTTGGCTGTACCTTCGTCGGCGCCCTCTTCCTCCGCCGCCTCGGTAAGGCCCGTCTGCTCGTCGCCGGGCCCGGGGTCCCGGGGCGCGGGAGAGACCCTGCCGAGCGGGGACCGGAAAGGGGCGGACACGGGCTGAGGGGAGGGCCGGGCCGGAGCGAGCGGCGCCGGGCTGAGGGGGCTGAGGGGGCTGAGGGGCTGAGGGGCTGAGGGGGCTGAGGGGCTGAGGGGGCTGAGGGGCTGAGGGGGCTGAGGGGCTGAGGGGCTGAGGGCCGGGGCGATGTCCCAGAGGCGGAGTTGGAGGAAAAGTGGGGGGCGCCGGAGAGTGGGACGGTGGAGGACGCTGAGCGTCGGGATCGGGTCTGTCGGGACGAGGGGACCCCCGGGAGTGGGGTGTGACAGTGCTGCCCCTGCGGGGGTCCGCGGTCCGGAGCGCCACTTACCGGAACCGGGGCGCAGCACTTCGGAGTTTGTCCCGGGACCCCGCTTTCCTCCGCTTCTCGGGGCAGCCGTGGCGGGGGAGGGGGGCGTCGTCTTCTTTTTCGGGGGGTGGTCCGTGATGGCGGGCCCCCCCTTTCGCGGCGAGGCTGGGAAGGACCCTCCCTTCGCTGTAGCTCCCGGGCTACAACAGCCCGTTCCCTGTCAGCCGCCGCCCCCCCCACCCCGGGGGCTTCCACTTCCCCCAGAGCCCGCCAGAGTGGACACACCCCTGGGGTCCGTGGGAAGCGCGAGGACCCCTCCAGGCTTCTTGGGGGGGGGAGATGCGGAGCCCCCGACGTTGCCTCACCCCTTCACCCTCTGGGGGGTGGGGGGACCCCGGCTCCTTGACCTTCTTTCCAGGTGCCTCGGACGCCCGGGCTGCTGCTCACGGGCTTCCGAAGTCCTTCTAGGCGTTTCTGTGGAGGGTTGAGGCGGCTCCTGGAGTGGGCCGAGGGCGGTGGCTGGGGTGCTGCCGGGTCAGGTGGGAACGCGGGGAGGAGGGACCGGGTGGTTTCCCAGCCCCGCCGAGCTCTCTCCCCACTGCCAGTGGGAAACCTGACGGGCTTCTTCCCGGTTGGTTGGCAGAGGTGCTGTGGAATTTGTCGCCGAGTCAGTAAGCCTTTGCGATTAGCCCAGCTCGGGGTGTTTGTGTGCCTTATCAAGATGGGAACCCGAGGCGGGCTGTCCCCCTGAAGAGCTGCGGCCCCAGCTCCCCCAGCCCACAGGTGAGCACCAGGGGGCCCCTTGCAGGGGGGTGGGGGGTCCGGTCTGAGGGTGGCGCGGGAGGGTCCAGGAGCTGGTGGGTGGTGGCCAACACTCTCAAAGACGCACCCGTGGCTTCTCCTGTGCAATTGGCTTCACGTGCGCTTCCCCGTGGTAACGTGTTCTTGGGGGCTTCAAGGACAACCGTCCGGATTTTTTTCAGCTCTTGAACCGGGACCTTTGACTTCTCTTGGTTGCTGCTGCTGGAACCTTTCACGAGGGGCCTCCAGGCTGGGTGCTGGTGGGGGTGGCATACATTGGGTGACATGAGCCCTGACTGAGGCCCGTGTTGGGAGGGAAAGACAGACCAGCCCGAGAGTGACACAACGTGGTGGTCAGTGCGATATGTGTTGAGGAGCGGGGGGGTCAGAGGGGGGCACCCCATTCCACCCCGGGAAGTTGGGGGAGGAGCCTTGGCAGGGTCTGGTGTGGTCCCCGGGAAGGAGCTCGGTGTGATGAAAGTACGGGAGGGCTGGAGGAGCAGGGGTGGAGGGTTTGGGGAGCCATGCTGAAGCCGTTGGGGAATAGAGGCTTGAGCAGAATTCCCCAAGAGGACTTTTTTCGGGGGTAGGTTTGGGTCACTCCCCAGCGATTCTCAGGGGACGTCGTGCCAGGGATTGAATCTAGCCCCCTGCGTGCAAAGCTTGTGTTCTGCCCGTTAAGCTGTCTCCAGCCTGCAGAGCCTCCTTTGCAGTGCGCAGTGGGGCTGAAGAGCGTGGACCGGTTTAGTCTGGATGACTCTGAGTGACTGCGAACCCCGGGGCCTGGGTGGGGTGCCTGGGACTTGCGCGTCTGCCCTGTGGGTGTTCAGAGCCTGTTGGGAATCTGGGCACAGGAAGGCCGGGTAGGCTGTGCCCTGAGAAGAGGAGCTTACTCTGCGTTGTCGGGCACAGCAGGGTGTCCTGGGGTGCGCCTGGGGCTGGGCAGAAGCAGGGAGTGAGAGTGATTCATGCAATGCTGGGACACAGAGATGAGATGGGGGCGGGGCAGGTCACCAGGGAACTCTTACGAGGCAGAGAGGTGTGAGTGACAGACTGGAGAGGGAAAGCAGCATATCCTGTCACTGGAGGGATCCTCAGAGTCAGCTCCAGAAACCTGGGTGTGGGAGAGCGGGATCAGAACTGCATTCAGGGGCCAGAGAGATAGGACAGTGGGCAAGGCACTTGCACGTGACCCCTGAGCCACAGAGTCAGGAGTAAGCCCTGAGTATCGCTGGGTGTGGCTCCCAAACAAAACCAAAAGAACAAAAAAAAAAAAAACCCCAAACTAGAGCTCTGCTCAGAAGTCTTGCACCGGCCGGTGCTGAGGGCGAGCAGGAGCATGAAGAGGCAGAGGGAGGACTGCTGAGCACGAGAAGTCGAGCGAGGACTGTCGAGCTGGGAGGCAGAAAGGTCCTGGCCAGATGCTGGCAATAGGGGTGAAGGGGGAGGAGGGCAACTGGCAGCAGCCGGACTGTGGGGAGAAGGTTGAAGACCAAGAGCCTGGCCCTTTCCCTAAGTGCCAGGGGTTCATGGAGCCAGAGAGTCTGGAAAGAAGGGCATACTTGGGAGGGAAGGGGAGTTTGGCTTCTGATGTACAGAAGGCACCTCTGGCCCACCAGAGCGGGACCTGGGCTGGGCGAGACCTCTGTGCATCATTCTCTGTGTCCATAAGGGGTTTGTGCCGCTCTCATGCTGGGCTCTTGGATCATAAAGATGCTAGAAGCGGTTCCTGGGTAGGTTTTAATTTTTCCCTCAGGTGAGCAGAGACTGTATACACTCTCCGCAGTGTTTAGGCATAGCCTACTTTGGGTTCTTTACTAAGTTATTTTTGGTTTTGGGCCACAATGCTCTTTGTCGGGGACCTCCCTCTGGTTCCATGCTTGGGATTTGCTCCTGGCAGTGCTCAGGGGACCATGTGCAAAGTATGTGCTTAGCCCTTTGGCTGTCTTCCCAGTCCTCCCAAGTTCTTTATAATGATTGTGGTGACCTCCCACTTCCCAGCCACCCAAAACAAAATACAACTAATCACTAATTTCTCTTCCTGTCCTCACCCTGAGGTAACCTTTGTCCCCATGCTTTCATTTTCAGTTTCACCGTGCCTCTGCATCCATCCTTCCTTCCTTCCTCTTTCTTTCTTTCTTTCTTTCTTTCTTTTTCTTCCTTTCTTTCTTTCTATTTTTTTGGGTCACCCAACAATACTCAGGGGGATCACCCTGGCAGCCTTGGGGAGCCATATGGGATTGAACCCGAAGTGACTGCATGTGAGGTAAGCACCGTTCTTGCTACTACTATCCCTCCGTGCATTTCTTTTTTTGGCGGGGGGCTCACACCCGGCGATGCTCAGGGGTCACTCCTAGCTCTGTACTCAGGAATTACTCCTGACGGTGCTTGGAGGACCATATGGCATATGGGATGCCAGGGATCAAACCCAGGTCGGCCGCGTGCAAGGCAAATGCCCTACCTATTGTGCTGTCACTCTGGCCCCTGCCTGTGCATTTCTAAGGAAAGTAAGGCATGAGTTATATTGCTAAGATTTGTCCATAATGTTACCGGCCAGCTCGATTGTTGTGGTGACTGAATCATATTTCATGGCGTGAAGAAACCAATTTGCACATCTGACCCCTGGTAATGGATAACGAGTCATTGCCAGGTGTTTGCTGTTGTAAGTGTGGGGGCTGGACGTTTCCAGACCCATCTCCTGTGGCGCGGGATCAGGAGGCTTGAATTTTGACTTGTTTCTTAGGGTAAATGCTTTTCAGCTGGCAGAGCTGTTGCCAGACTGTTTCTTGACGTGACTGCTCCAACTTCCCCCAGCAGTGTCAGTGACTGGGGCTGCCAGGTGTCCCTCATGCTCGCCAGCCCTTGCTCAGGCCAACTTGAATTTTGCTGAGTGAAGGGGATCTTTGCTGGGGCTGAGCTTTGAACCACCAGGCCTGCATCGCCCCACTTACCGCTGCCAGTATTGATCCCCATTCCCCGCAAGCACAGAAGATAAAATGGGGTCTGGGGCCTCTTGCTTTCTGTGTGCCTGGTCCTCCTCTTTTTTTGTTTTTTTTTTTCCATCTGTTAATTGGCAGGTCTCTGAAGTCCCTGCTTCTGTCCTCTGCGGGTTTCCTTGGCTTTGAGGGCCCTTCTTTGTAATTGATTCCTAGGAGTTCCGGATCTTAATCTTTTGTGTGTGCTTCTGTGGATGTCTTTTCCCAGCTGGTCACTTGCCTTTCGACGTTCTGTAAGGCCTATTTTATTGAACATTCTTATTCTTCAAATGTTTTTCCCTTATAGTCAAGTCAGAGTTCCGTTTTTCGTTTAAAAAGCCTCAATTTCTTGCCTCTAAGGAGCATATTCCTCATGGAAGGGGCAGGTGGATGATGACATTTAGATGTCACATGGACACTGTTTGAAGTGTCATCTGAAGAGAATCACAAGACAGAGTTCTAAGCTGGAACCAGTGGGATGGACACTCCTAGGAGACAGTCTAGCCAGTTGGGTTTCTCAGTCTGGAGCAGAGGGCCAGTGGGGCTCAGACGGGGCAGCTGAAGTCGGTGTAGGGGTTACTGGAGGCTGGGACAGATGACCGGGCCCCTCGGTGTGCCATGGAGAAGGTCCAGGGTTTGACTTACTGATGCAGGGGCAGATGTTGATATCTGGTGTGGCTCTGGGAGTGGTGGTGTTCCTGTGGGTGGCCCTCACGGCACAGTGTGTTCTGGGCAAATACTGACATGTCTAACAAGGGCAGGGCACGCTGAGGCGGAGAATCGCAGGCAAAAGTGCTCTCCTGGTGTTGGTTAAGAGGCAGGATCTCTACTCTTGGTCAGCGACAGGGCAACGCTCTGCAGAGCAGGGCTCCAGAACAAAGCCAACCCGCTCACTGCCAGTTTTAATAAAGTTTTATTGGAACTCAGCCACTCTGGTTTGTTATGCCTTGGACTCTGGTGGTTTTGTTGTGCTCTTCTCAGAGTTGCACAGATACATTAGGAGCCCTGTGTTCTGCACAGCCTAGACTTTGTCTTCTGTGGCTCCCTAGGAGCTTTCACTGACCCTGCTGTGGGAGCTGTGGTGGCTGGGAGCCTGGAGAATGTGCCCCCGCCCCCATGGTGGTTTCATTGTGGTTGCTGGGCAGATAATGCATCTAGGTCAGGCCATGAGCTGGGTTTTTAAAGAGCTGAAAACTGTTGCCCAAGCACAGCACATCTGGCAGGAGGATTTGTCCGGCAACACTTTGACCCTTCTGTCTGGAAGCAGGTTGTCTTGTTCTGACTCACTTCTCACACATCGAAAAGCACCATCAGTCCTGGCTGAGTGCAAGAATTGAGCCAAAACACCTCCACTCCCCCTTCGAGCCCTGAGAGCCTCGGCTGGGTGCTGTTGGTGCCTCACCTGCAGGATTCCCTGGGGTGTCCAGGCTGTTCTGTGAGGCAGGAGCGGCAGGTGCTGCCTGCCGGCCTGCACATCTGGCCTGCTGGGGTTTTGCCCTCTGGCCAACTTGTGGCTCTCTGAGCCCTGTTTGGTTCTGCTTGGACTTGCCTCTGGAGGGCCAAGGCTGGCGCTAGCCCAAAGAGGAAGTGTGCAGGAACACCTCCTTTGTTCCTTTCGCCTCCTGGGCTCTGGGGAGCTGGTGGCCTGGGTTCTAACTATCTTTTTCAGACAGAAACTCTTCCTTGCATGCTGCTATTGGCATCATTTTGGGCATCTGGATTGTGCCTTTTATGCATTTGCTTGGAACCCAGGGATGCAGGATTGTGTCTTTTGGCGTGGTAGGTGCTGTGATATTTTGACCAGACCTGTTACTAGCAAAACTCTACAGGGATAGTGGCAGCCAATGAAAGAAATCATCCTTCAGTTATTATTTATGTGCTTAGGGGCACTTGCAGGCTCTGTGCTCAGGGGTCATTCCTGGTGGTGCTTGGGAACCCTGTGGTTCTAGGATTATCCTAGCATCCTGCATATAAAGCATGCTCTCTGCCTGTGGAACCTTCTCTGAT